CTTGGCTTCATCTTCATTTACAGGAGGTTTTAAGGATAACGCCTATTTGGGGGTATTGAATAGAGTTTCATTCTTTACATCTAGTTTTTTACACCTTTTTATACCAACCATGTAAAATTTAGGATTCACAAAACACAGGCTGTTGACCACTAAACTCTTTTGGCTACTGAATTTTGGCAGCCTGCAGATTTTCTAGCAACCCTATTGCCAAGCCAGTCAAGTGCCTTGGCAATGCAGCTTTTCTATGCCAGAAAAACAAAAGGCAAACTGTATTACAACCCTGAGTATGTAATGGGTATAACTGATATCTTCAGAAAAGACTTGAGCTAATCGCAGCTCAGTCTTTCATTGCTCATTGTTTATGTCAGCTCTGGGGAGACTTTATTTTGTCCCAGATCTTTGCTCCCCAGATCCAACCCTTACAGTTTCAGTAAGCAGAGTCCCTCCTGGTGGTCACTGGGCAGAATGTGTGTAAGACATGGAGCAGGATTCCAACCCTCACTACTGCTGATACGATTACTGGGCTGGATTCCAGCTAGCCTAAAATGTTGGAGCGTCCCTGTTGCCTGAGCATTACAGACACCCACAGCTCTTCCCCTGGACCATTAATGCTCAGCAAAGGAGCTATGTATTCAACACGGCTGGCACAGGCAGGAACAGCTTCATGGTGGGTCAAGACAAAGCGCTCAGTGTGCTCCCTCCAGGCAGCCCTTGGAGGGCTGACCTGGGCTTGCAGTTCCATCCTAGCTGGGTGCAGTCATTACACAGTGACAAGTGACTGCCCCAGCCACCTGCCAGAGGCACCAGGCCGTGGGTCTCCGTGCTGCCCCGGGGCCGACCAGCACAGCCCTCGGGGGTACAGCCTCCCCAGCCTCCCCCCCTGGAAGATGCTGGGCCAGCCAGTATCTACACACACAAAAAAAAAACCCCAAAACTAGACGTCTCTCTCCCTACCACCTTTTTTTATTTTTAATTTTTTAATTTTTTTTTTAACACAGCAGATTGAGGGACAAGGCTGTAAAAAGGAAAAGAAAAGCTGCTTCTTCAGTATTTATTTGTTCTAGGTTTGTTGTTTTTTTTTTTGTTATTGTTGTTGGGTTTTGTTTGTTTGTTTGTTTGTTTGTTTTCTAGGAGCTCCAGCAATCACATTAGGTTGCCAGAGTTTGGTTCCCTCCTGCCAGCGTGGCAGGGACCACTGCTGGCCATAGCTCAGGTTTGCTCCCATCTCTGTGCAGGAGCTGGAGGGGTGCAAACCTTTCCCATAATCCCTTTTTAGAAAAGCAGCATATAGGGAAAATGAGATTTTGTCTGGTTCTCCCCAGCCCTCATCCTAATTCAACAGAAAAAAGATCCTTAATTTGAAATGCTCTCCAGAGCTGTAGCCTGACGTAGTGCTTAGGCATTGGGAGATGGAACTGGTGTGACGATCACGGACTCAAAATAGCCATAATTACCACATCCTGTTTTGGACGAGCAGCAGTGTCACAGCTATTTCAAGGATCTTCTTCCTCCAGGTGCTGGTCAGCCTCTGCTGAGGAGTGTCTGCCCTGCACCAGCCAGCTTTCTCTCTCTTTTTCGTATTTATTTATTAGCAGCATTTAAAAAGAGCTATGTCTACATTTTGATGTAGGTGATAGCCTATATGAAATTGGTGTGGATGCTTTTCTCTACAGCTACCTTAGAGAAACTGAATTACAAACACAGGAGAAACTAGTTAGGGATACTGTTCTCTAATTCAGTGTCCAAATTCAACCTTAACTAAGAATCCCATTAAAGGCAGATTATTTTATTACCTCTATATAAATCCCAATAAATACATATATAAATCTCAGTAAATACAAAATGTACTTGGAACTTTCAACTTCCCAGGACTGTAGAAAGTTGCAGGGATGATTTAATGCTTTCTTCTACTAAGAAGAATGTGGAAGAGAGAATTATTGGGAAGCAGTGAGAAAAAAGAGCCATCCTGGCCTGACCAAATCAAGACCCTCATTTTCTAGTGGTGGAAAAATTGCAGAGGAATGCAACCAGGATGCTGCACACAGCTTTATTTATAATCTGCTCTCATATGTCATTAGGATATTTTCAGTCTCGCTGCCTGGAGGCATTTTAACAGCAGCTTACCCACCACCCACAAAATCTATTAGTTTAAACAATAAAAATGAGCCATTTGGCCACTCAGTGATGGCCTTAAAATTGCTTTGGTAAGTGCAGATATAATGAAGATGGAGGCTTTAGAGCTGTGTGAGAATCATGACAGACCTAATGGAAAATGCAGTTGCTTTGAGCTGTTCGCTGTAAGGGCAACATCAGGCCTTGGTTTGCTTTTCCTGGATCACCAGGTAGCTGGAGATCCAAATTTAGCATGAGGCAGGTACTTAATGCAGAGCATGGCACACCTGGGCATAGTTTTTAGGGTGGCTCCTCTAGTATGTGCCTGATCATGTCTGAAGCTTCACTTTGCATTTGATGCTCATTAATCTGAGTGGGGCTGTGCAAACCAAGCAAGCACAGGCCCACCAGCATCTTCGAAAGCCAACAGGTGGCCGAGGGGGTTTGGGCTGGTTGTCATTCCTTGCCTGGCACCACTCTCCCCTGCTGGGGACTGACCATCCTTACCAGTCCTGCCACTGGACTTGCAGTGTAAGCGATCCCTAACCTCATTTCTCAGGCCAGAAAACTTTTCCCATTAAATGTATCAACTCAATAGCCACAGAATTTTAAATTTATTATGATTTTTCCCCTCAAGAGTAATATCCTTGGGGCTGGGAAGTGGAATTTTGTTTCCAGCCCACAGCTGCATGCAACCGCCTGGCTTGGTTTATTGCAGAAGTGGGTGATACCAAATCAATCCTGCACTTGGAAGGTGCTTAGCTACCATCCTCTGTCAGCTTTTCTTCTTTATGGGCCTGTCAAACTGTTTTTATTCACTCCTAATATAATCTTCCCATAATAAGGAGCTTGCATGGCTAGAGATGGGCAGGAGGCTGCTGCGATTACCTGGGAGCTGTGATAAATTGCTAGGTAGCTTCCAGGATTGCACAGCTGTGGGAGTTTTCTTCTTGTGCTTTCAGAACTTTGTTCACCCTCCGTGCTTTACGTTCACGTCACAGTGTGAATTTATTGCCTTTCCTTCAGGAGTGTGCCTGTGTGGAGGGAATTGTAAAAACTGAACACTCAGTGCATAAAACGGAGTGATTAATTAACAGTTCATCCAAGAGTAATAAGAGCAGTATGAGTGTCTCACTGGACAAATAATCCCATACTAGGAAGCTTGGCTGTCTGGGAATTACTGTTCAAAGCAATTGCGTTTTTCTATAACTGGGATTGCATGGGATTATGGTATTATAAATAGGATTTGCTCTAAAGGCCAGTGGTACTCTGTATCTTAAGGATTACTCCAGCTTCTCTTAAAAGGAATTTTGATAATGCTCCTTTAATGAGACTGCACTAAATTGAATTATGTCCTGCCTTCCCCATTAAGTGGGATCTTTTTTTATGATACTGGACATGAGCACAAGTCTTACGTATTCCTTACCAGGGGTTATGTGTGACCTATATAACAAGATCTACACAAACAGACATGAACTTAACCCTAAATATTTGTTAAAAAAAAATAAATTGTTATCTTTAGGAGCAACTTGGGGCCTGAAGGCCTCTGCTCACTACCACCCATTATTCTGGTCCAAACAGTCCAGCTTTAAAATAGGAAATGATAAATCCTCTGGGAACATTCTGCAAATTCTTTATAACAAACACTGGTACTCCAAGGGATGCAAATAACATCGTTTCCAAAGATCTGATCTCTTGCCCTGAATTCCCTTGATATAGCAGGGATGGGAGAGCAAAGGGAATAAACACCTGGATGGTGACAGGCCCAGGACACTCCAAAGTTTTTCTTGCTACTGGTTCAGATTAGCAGGTGCCTATTCATCACCCTACACCCTCACAGGCAGCTTGTGAAACTACCTGCCCCCACTGTCCCCTCACTGAATGGATGTACCTCCTGCTCAGCTGGCCAGCAGGGCTGTGTCCCAAGCCAGTGGGTGAATTGGCCGAACAGATGAGTTTTTATGGAAGGTCATGGATGGGGAAGGATGAGTCAGTGCAACAGGGCTGGAACCTGTAGTCTTCTTTTAGCTGAGGTGTGGAGCGACTCACCCACTCACCTGCGCTGTGCAGCCCTGCTGCAGCCACGCTTCACTTCACAGTGGACATAAAAGCTGCAGGTGATGCTGGAGAAGAGGCTGCTCTGGTTTGCAGAAAATCCCAGTTAACTTGAGGCTTTCCTTGGATAGACCTTTCAGTCTTTATCCTACTCCTAGCTCTCTTTCCTCAGTCCTGCTCTATCTAACCCATTTGGTGTACAGAAACAGAAATTAGCTTTCTATTTCATGCAACATGCACCTCTTGTTTTACTCCATAACCCAGCTTGTAGCTCCATCTCAGCTCAAACCTGAGGGGTGCCTGCTATGAGCTGGGTACTGAGGCTGCCTTGAAGATCACCTGGTCCACTTCCCACCATGGTCTTGCCTCTCATGGCAAGTGAGTCCTATGGCATAGATCGCTGTGCTCTCCCCCCCTGCCAGGGGCATGCCTGGGGCTGTAGGAAGCTCTTAGGGTGGCTTCCAGCCAGCAATAGGCACAAGGTGCCAGGCTAGGGTTTATGTACCACATCTCACCAAGGGCTTCACCCTTGTCCTGCGGCTGTTGGGAAAATATCACTGGTGCTGTTTTACCCTTCCTGGGCACCCACTGTCATGCTGCAATAAAGGGCTGGATTGCCTTGCAGCCTGTGAGGCTCTTCCTTGTGCTCAGCAATGATGCAAACTGCAGGGCACAATGTCACCAGGGAGCTGACAGCAGTGACGAGAGAAGGTCTTGCTGGCAAGTTCCTCCTGTGGATGGACAGGGAAGTGGGAGGTCAGTCACCTGTGCTGCTCTCCCCTGCACCAGCGAGGGCAGCTGGGCGGCGCAAAAACACATCACCACAACAGGGCTCCTCCAGGAATGTATTTATTTACATTAAAACACTATTATACAAACTGAAAGAGAGGAAAAGAAAAAAAGAGACGATGTCTTAGAGGGGCAGGTGTGCCAAAGTCAGTGCCCCTCACTCCCCTCCCCATCTTGCTGCTGCTTTCCTTCTACTCTAGTCCGACCGCGAGTGTTGCGATCCTTGTAGGAAAATCCCTTTCCAGCCCTCTCTCAGTGTGAACACCCATGTTTTCTCCTTATGCGGCCTTCAGAAATCACTGTTTTCTGCCTCCAAAGAAAACTCTTGTCCAAATGTTTTTTTCTTGATTTATTTATGTAACACAGTGTAGAAAGCTATCAATTCCTAAGCAATGGCTCTGTACAATCATCCTGCAAAGGATCCCTGTTAATTTTCGACCAGCAGGCACTTTTCCCCTGCCAGAAGTGCTCACAATTAACAGGGATTCTTTTTAATATTTAAGATTCAAAAGATACATGGAAAAGAAAATAAAGTTTACCTTTCAATGCCTAAAGTGTGCACATAAAACAGGCACAAAGAAACAAATGTGTATTCCCATGATTTCTACGCCACTAATACAGCAGGAGCAACAATCTGTACAATAAAATGCAGCTGCAGAGGAAAAGAATTTCAATAACTCATCTGGAATAATTTTTAAAAAAATGTCATTTTACTTTAAAATGCATAGTGATCAGAAAAAAATGCTCAGCAAAGAGAAGCAGCTAAACCCCACAGACACAGAAAGCATCCCCCATCAATTCTTAAAGCATATTTCAATCAGGACTTAATTTTTGTCACAAATCACAAGAATAATATACAACTGGCTAAGGAGCTACATGATAAATAATCGGGAAAGAGAATCTACCCATGCACTAGTTAAATACAGCTAACTTCTTTACAGTACACAAAAAACATTCATTAATAATGTAGTGTAAAGACTGAAATGTAAAGAGAAAGAGAGAGAAAATACATTACTGATTTTATTAATTCAAGTTCAGGCATCTACTTGTGTTACAGCACAGCTGTCAAAAGGCGAGAATGAGTAAATAATAAAACAGAGTGTTTTTCTTTCTTTCCACATTATTCTATAACTGAACACCGACGGGCAGTGAAGCAATCATTCTGCTGTCCAACTCATGAGGCTGCTGTGGTGTCCTAGTTCTGCATTTGTTCAAAGAACTTGTAGGTGGGATTTTCGTAGCCATTTTGCTGCATCTTGGAAAGGTGGCGCTCCTCTGGTGTCACTGCAGCATCCACCTGTCACGAGAAGAAACAACCCTGGTCAGACTCCTCCTTAACTCACAGCGTACCCCACGTTTTCCCACTTTGTGGTCATCCAACATACTTTGCACCCTTCTCTCTGCATTCAAGCAGAAAGCATCTGTAGAAACACAGACCAGTTTTTTTTGACAGTTTCTTCCCTGCCCCTATTTTTACTTTTTTTAACCAAAAGGAGAAAGTAAGTTAGGTTCCAAGCTCGGTTCAAATCTTCTAAGTCTGAAGTAAAGGTGGCCAGGAAATCATAGGAATACTTCTCCACCAAACAGAACATTAAACCTAGGACCTAAGGGCTCTCACTTTCTCCAAAGAGACAACTGCCTGAAAATTCTTCTCTCCAAGTTACACAGGACTGCAAATGACCTCACAAACAAAATCAGCAGACAGCACTGCACCCAACAATAAATCAGAAGCCAGCACACAGCTTTAAAGAGCAACATGCAAGAGATGGCTCTTCCAGCTTGGGCAGTCATGGTTCACATTCTGGTCCGAGTAACGTGCTTAAGAAGATAAGGCAAGAGAAACAATTCTGCAACTCATTTTTTTGCTGCAGGACTTCAAAACAAGCTGATGAAACTCAGCAGTATCAGCTCTGGGTTTTTTCTGGCTCAGGAAACATGCAACTCCACAAACAAAAAAGAGGACATAGTTTGCATTTCCCTGCTAGTCCTCCATTATTAGTATTTCTTCCCCCTAGGACATATATCTGTATCTATACTTGGAATTAACTGGATCTCAAAAGAAAAGTTCACTAAAAAGCTGAAGCAACTGTCTTGAGGCTGCCTTCTGCCTTTATTGTGCTCTCAGATCTGTTGCAGTTGTTGTGGTCTCAAGACCAAGAAATATAAATTAGAAAAAAAAAAATGAGGGAAGGCAGGGAATGCCAGAGTAGCCAGGGACAAGGTGAGCAAACAATCCCACTGCACTCATGGAAACAGAACTTCTCTGGCCCCAAAACTGAGTCTGAGTTTAGTGACAAAAAATTTGATGTGTCTGTAATGGTTTAAGTATTTCTACTTAACAAAAACCCGACCTTTCTTGACTACTTGGAATACAGGCATAAGGACAGCTCAGTCAAGACTTCTGCACTGAATACCTGTGGCTCCACAATTTATTTTCTTCCTTCACTGAATATTACACTAATCTAAAACTCCATCAAATTAGAGTGGGCAAGAACAGTCTTTAAATGTTAATTAGGTATTTTACTTCTGCTGTATCAGCTCAATAGCTGTTGCGTATTCAAAACCTACTATATCCTAGCTGTCTTGCAAACCAGTTAAGAAAGCCTGCTTGACAGTTATTTAATTTGCTATATGGTATCCCTAGTCTTTGTCAGCTCTTTAAAGAAAAGGTAAAACCTGAATTATATGTTGTCAAAAATTTAAAATCGGGAAGGTGCCTAAGACTCTACAATGAAGTACTAGGCATGAACATTTTCCTGCGGATTCCTGTAAGTAGTGACCTTTAGGAAAAACATCAATTTTCTTCTACGCTTAAAAGTAGCTTTTTGGAGAATGAAAATTGTATTCTTTAACGAAGCCCTATACTGCAGATTAACTCACTCTAACCTTTTAATAAAAAAGCAAAGAAGTACTTATGTCTGATACTCATTTTAAATCTACTCTACAATACTGGAAATAACAGCTTAGTTAGGACAGACCTTTGGTGAGTTGTTACATGATACCCTGGGGAAAGATTAAAGGCACATTCTTCCATGCTTGGGACAAACAGGCTGCTCAGCTTACTTATTTATTGTTGTTTTTCTAGTGCAGTAGGTTTAGCACAGTACCACCAGAAAATGGCTCTTCTCAGTGCCATCTTCTCTCTTGATGTTCTTTTAGTTACTTAAGACAAGAAATGGTTCTGTGTCTGGCATGTGCACTGGAATTCCTCAGATGAACTGCTAACCCCAAATCTGAACCATTTTCATATCTGTGCCCCTTCTAAATCTTCTCGTCTATGTGCAAACTCTCAAATTGCATTTTCAGTCAACACACTATCTCCCCTCAAATTTCTTCTTCTTACACAGTAATTGCACATCTTTTGATGAAATACCCAACTTCAAGGGTCATATACTGCTTTTGCTCTCAAGCTGCTGTGAAATTCCCTGTAGCTGGGAGTCCTGAGCCTTTCAGCAAGCCCGTAACTCCTGCTGGCAGGGAACAGGATGCCAGGCAGAAAGGAGGACAGGGCTGAGCTGAGACGATGCAGCTGTTTCTGATTCTGCAATACAACTTGGTCTTTTTTGCTGTTAAAACACTACCATTCAAAGGCAATTTATTTTTTTTTTTAACACTGTTGCATTTGAATGGAGTAATTCTCTTATGCAACAAACCCAAAATCCACCTATTTTTTCACGTCCTGTGACGTGCTTTTCTTTCCCTGCCCCCATCCCTTTCCAAAGTGACAAACTACTTCTTCTGAAGGATACAGCTTGGCTGTCTCATTTTGACCCATCAAGGAGAGAAGAACCCCTGGGAATTTCAGAGCCTGCCTCATTTTCAACCCCTCCACCCAAATCCCAAAGACATTTCTGTACAACGTGCACAGCAGCCAGCATACAAACTGTGCATTCCCATTTTAAAGACTTGTCCATGCCTGTTGCTCCAGGATCACCCATGCCCAGCAGAGCGGGCAGTGGCAGGGCTTTTTTGCCCTGCCACAGCTCCCAGCCCTCATCTCTGCAACCTTCTCCAGGGGCTGGGTTGCTTCCTGCTGCTTTACCTGTCCTTTCTCCAGGGGTTTCCAACTTCTCCCTCCATAAAGATACACCATCTATATCCATATGCAAAGAATCAACTTCTGGCAATTCCTTGGTGCTATTGCTGTTTGGCAGAGCACTTGTTTTTGATTTATGCCATGAGTGTAACAACTGTAGGGCCTAAACCAAACTGATTCCATACAGGTTTTGTAAAACATGTAAAAGGGACTAACCCCTGGACCATGCAGATATAACTATTTTCACTGTGACAATGTTGCTGCATGCCATCTGCTGCTGCTAAAGTTGTCACTAACATGGCTGTGAAGGGAAGAGAATGAAGCAGGGAAAACTGCAAAAGTCCCCGTAGCCTTTTCAGCACTTAAAGAGAAAATAATACAAAGCAAGCACAGAGAAAAAGCCACCCTTCCCTTCATTCTTGGAGGGGCTGCTGCAGCATTAAGTCAGCCCTGGTTCTTGTGCAGAATAACACCAAGTTACTGGAGTATCTAGTGCTTCTCCAAATGAAGAAGTGAGAGCCTCACAATTCACAAATAAACCCACCAACAGATTCTAATCTAGCATGAAACTGAAGCACAAAATGAAGTTCTAGGGTTGAAGGATCAGGGCTCTCTGTGTATCAATACATTCCTGAGAGCATCTTCCTTGCTAGCAGGCTCTCCTCATGAGGCTGGGATGCAATATATGCTAGCACCTGTGCTGTATTTGCTCATATTTGGGCTCCAAACAACACTATTGAACTCTGTCACCTGTTTCAGCTTAAGCCTCCCACTCAGCACTTCTTATTCAGGACTAGAAGATGTGATAAGCACACAGCATAACCTGCTTGTGGGAAAGCAATGGGGTAAGACAACAACATAAATAAAGAATTGAAAGTACAAGGCAGAAGAGACTAAAGATTTATGAGAAACCAGAGAAAATTGTAAGAATATCAGGGAGAAGAAAGAGATTAGGCAAAAAACCGAGAAAGGACAGTAAAATCAGACTGACTCTTTAACACCCTTGCACAATATTCTGTATTAAAAAGTCTCCTATTGATCAAACTATATTATAGGGAAAGTCCAATAATGTCTGAAATACGGCATTTATAGATGAAAGGGATTTATTGAGGCTCCTGTTTGCAGTCTTAGTCAATTTTATTTTTTAAATTCCCTCGTTAGCCTTTAAAATGACTAGTGCTGGTACTTTCCTCCTGCCTGTAGCTGTCTCCTGCAGGGTAATCCATCTCACCACCAACCTACGTGTATTATTGCTCATCCTGAATGGCTCGTCTCCTACTCACTTTTACCCATTTTGGCTCTGCCAAACTCTTCCTCTAGCTCTTATAGCCTCTATCTTAGCTAGGGCTCGGTGATATGACATGCCTTGAACCTGATTATCTCCTTGTCAGTAAATCCCTCAAGCCCTTTATAATTTTAAGAAGCTTTTTGCACCTGTTATGAATGTGTCATAAGTTGAACACAACATGTAAGAGGTGAGGGTACTCTGGCACTGCTGAGAAGCAGCCTAGATACTTCTCTCTTCTACAACGTGATGTTGCTTGAGAAAACAGCTCAGTCAATCAACAATCTCTTTTGAAACTGTTTGCCCATCTATGCTCTTCTGCTCCAGCATATGGATCCTTCACACAGAAAATCCTAACATGGAGTCAGGCAGAGGCTTATAACACAGAGAAATTTACACACTGACCCTACACGCAAGGCAGATCAAAAGCCCAGGAAGTAGGTGTTGGCAGCCCTTAGAGACGGCGCTGAGCATAACACTGTTGTTTAGAATGATGGCAAATAGATGCCTCCTAGTATTCACTGGCAGATTAGACTTTGAGAGATGGACTTTGGAGAGTAATACAGCAATTTTAATGGCTTCTTTGTTGTGAGCCCTTATGCTGTCACCTCTCCCCACATGCTTCTGCTGGAGGTGCCATGACTGTAGCAGAAAGCAAACAGCTTCAAAGAGGAAATCCCAAAAGAGAAGCTGAGACAGTCCAGAGCACAGGAGAGCTGAGAACCTCTTTTGCCATCTGCTTTAATGGAGGAAGTAACCTCCTGTAGACAGCTGAGATGGGTGTACCAGCAAAAAACACCTTCAAAATGTTTGCTGGAGCTCTTATGTAATAGTGTGTAATTTCCAATTATTCAGTCATTTACTCAATTGTGACAGTCCTTCTCCTGGAGAGGCTGAACCACTTTGGAACATATATATTCTCAGACCTGGAATAAAATTATGATGACACTTTTTCTAAATAGGACAAGTAATTCCTCCTCAGATCTTCAAAATAAGGGTAAAAGGATTTTTAATAACTTCTTTTTTTTTTTAAGAAATACTGAAATGAGATTAAGTACTACAGAGTTCACTTTTTGGAAGAAAACAAGTGGAACAGGATCTATTTTGTAATCATGCATCCATTATCATAGAGTTAAATTTTCACAGCAACTCCAGACATGCAACAAACAGGCTGTAAGTTTTGTTATAATACACTCAGTCAACCTAGAGCTGAGATGCAGTTATTTTTAAATGATGTGATTTTGTTCTTCTGTGCTTCTTGTGTGAAGCACATTAAATGTGTACTGTTGCTAAATAAATTAATCCTCTTTAGACTGGAGCAGCTTAATTTTCAAGACATTTTAATATTAAATATCAACTGTATACGGATATTTAGGTGGTGGGGTTTTTTTCCCCCAAAAGTAAGTGCTAAAAAATGTTCACCAACCTAGGATAAAAATAGATGTTATGTCTTTCTTGCAGGAAAGAAGCTCAGTGAAGCTATGCTGTCTGCCAAGACCACAGAGCAAGTCTGGCAAAATAAGGAATTGTGCCTGCCAATGCCAGACACAATGCAGCAAATCTATAAGGCAACACCATCTACAGAGTGACATTATAAATATACTAATACTTTTGGTAGATCCACATGTTGTAGCTTTACGGTTTTATCTGTAAAATTTTTATTCCCTAAGTGATGCTGTCATGTTAACATGAATTATTTGTTTGGTTTGTGGATGTTATTTCTAGCTCAACACTTCCAAGTTCACTTTTACTGATGGAAGCTCATATGAATCCAGGTTTATGGCTTTGCCATGTCATTGCAGCAGGTGAAGCCCATCTGAAATGTTAAGGTTTATCCTGCAAGAATGGTATGTCCACATTCAATGTCTGATTTTGAGGCTTTGGCCTCCTGACCTATTCTATTGTCAATAATTCAGCCAAAGGAGGGTCTCAGGTTGCACAAATGTTGGCAGCAGCTATCAACTAGGTGATTTACAACTAAAACCTGTCTCAGTTTTCTGCAAAATAGGCTTGGAAGCTTTAATATGGAAAGTTACAGCTGAGATTCTTTCTTGCTATTTGCTGCCCCTTGGTGCAAATTCTGTACGGCTTGCTGTCTGCTGAAATTTCACCCCAGATGGTTGGTGCTCTTCTAACTGTCTCTTTGGAAGGTTTCAAACCGTGTGGGCAACCACAGTAAGGACACAGAGACACATAAACACTGGCTTAAGAAAAAGACTTACTCATATGTTTTTAAGACCGTTCATTGCCCTAGATGGTGGAACACATGCACCAGGAAACATGCACGTCTCCAGCAAAAGCAAGGCTCATATAACTGAAGGTGAAACCAACATAACTGTGGACTTGAACAAGACTTAGTTTCAATTAAAAAAAAATTAAATACCAGTTTTGAAAGGCAATAACATATAAATGTTTCAAGTGCTGGTTATTATGAGTACTACCTGCAAATCAGACACTCATATATCAAACTAGGTATTAGTACGCAAAGGGGAAAAAGAATTTACATGAACCTCCTTCCAGTTCTCATAATTAAGTTTTTCATTTACAGAGATCATATTCATAGAATCATTAAGGTTGGAAGGGATCTTAAAGATCACCAGGTTCCAACCCCCCTGCCATGAGCAGGGAACCCCACCACTAGATCAGGCTGCACAAAACCTCATCCAACCTGACTTTAAAAACCTCCAGAGATGGGGCATCAGTAACCTCCCTGGGCAACCCATTCCAGTTCCTCTCCTCCCTTATAGTGAAGAATTTCTTCCTAATATCTAACCTAAATATCCCCTCTTTCAGTTTAAAACCATTACCCCTTGTCCTATCACTATCTTCTCTGATGAAAAGCCCCTCCCCAGCTTTCCTGTAGGCCCCTTCAAGTACTGGAAGGAGCTATAATGTCTCCCCAGAGCCTTCTCTTCTCCAGGCTGAACAGCCCCAACTCTCTCAGCCTGTCTCCATAGCAGAGGTGCTCTAGGCCTTTGATCATCTTGAGGTGTGGTCTGACCAGAGCAGAGCAGAGGAGCAGAATCACCTCCCTGGCCCTGCTGGCCACACTTCTTTGGATGCAGCCCAGGATGCAGTTGTTCTCTGGGCTCCAGCACACACTGGTGGCTCATGTCGAGCTTCTCATCTACTAACACCCCAAGTCCTTGTCCTCAGGACTGCTCTCCAGCCATTCTCCCCCCACCCTGTATTTGTGCCTGGGGTTGCACCAACCCAGGTGCAGGACCCTGCACTTGGCCTTGTTGACCTTCATGAGGTTGGCATTGGCCCATCTCTCTAGCCTGTCAAGGTCCCTCTGGATGGCATCCCTTCTCTCTAGGGTGTCAACCACTCCACACAGCTTGGTATCCTCAGCAAATTTGCTGAGGATACATTCAACCTCACTGTCCATGTCTCCAACAAAGATGTTAAGCAGCTTCAACAGTTAACAGATCCTTTCTTATATCCAAGCAACAAATGAGGTATTTTAAGTTACTGTAAACTGACCAAAAATTTACTTGGTAGATTGTGTTTTCATCTTGAAAATTCCATGTAAAAGTCCTATATATTGTTTGTTTCTCAAACCTATGAGTTTCAGATTAGCTGTAAATCAAAAGCTGTTGGTGGCACAAGAA